CAAGCTGGTTTCGAATATATGTGTATCATTTCAGTAGGCAGATCTAAGCCAGTATCTTTCCCTTGTAATATGAAAAGTGACGACAACATCATTTGAGCTGAAATATATCACATCATAGGCAAATTATTGATTCGAAGTATGTAAACACCCATGCTGGTTCTGAAGGTGAATTGACCAACACCATTTTGTTTCTTGCCATGACATCAGGATTTGTAAAACATGACAAGCGAAAGATTTTGCTTTCACTCGAGACCTTCCTGGCATTACTGCTTCAAGCATGGCAATATTCAATCCCCTAAAAAATGCAAATTTCTATAATGAGTGTCGATGTTAAGCAATCAGGTATACTGTCTAAACTCGCTCATTTCTGCCCGCGTTTTTATACCTAAAGAACGGACATACTTCATGCGATTTAATCGCGACGCGACTTGGCAATATTTCAACTGTCCATAACTCACTGTAAGCACATTCTAAATGTACAGAAGATGCTTTACTGCTAGAACTTGAGGATTTGATATATTGTGAATTGAATTTTTCGCATCACATTGACAATGTGGTAAATAGTGCGCACTCTGTTTTACAAATTTCCGGTCCATTCATACTGATAATCCCGTAATATTAAACGTCTATATAAAGCGTACGTACTCTCGCACCTCGAATACTTTTCTGTGATCTGGAACCCTTTTCTAAAGAAAGACATCCTAAAGCTGGAAAAACTTCAAAAACCATTTACTCGGATTCTGTTTCTTAGATGTCGCATAGCATCTGCGTGTGATAAAGTGCCCAATTATGAAGACCGCCTCAAGTCCTTGGCAACGAAGAGTTTGGAAATTCAACGTACATACCTGAATCTTATTTTCGCTTTTCGTCTTCTATGTAAAACAATTAGACTCAGCCCAAGTAAATACTGGACTTTCAGGCCTAGTAATAGGACGAGTGGGTTTAATACGTTTCGGACCGGTGCTGCACATGGTGCAGCACGCTGCTTTGAGGGATCTTTCTAGCGTTTGCAGGAGGTTTCCTTTTAGTCTAAAGTTGTTAAGTCAAAGATCTAAGCTCCTACTTTTCAACTGACTCTGTAGAGTTGTGCCGCCGATATTTATTTAGGAGATATGAGCACAAATCGAGCAACAGTTGCAACGAAATGCGGCAACGCGAACGACGCGTGCGACGTCGCAACTTTTCTTTGCTTCGATATCAAAGAGAAAAACCGTAGTTTCAATATTGATGTGTACCGTGTACAACATAGGTACTTTTGAATACTATTAGAATCTGAGTTCTTGTTCCTATCTTTCAAGAAAGCACAAAAATCCCTCTCAAGCGACAAAATTCAAACACTTCGAATTCACTCGGAACTTTGGATATGGAGCTTATCTGACATGCTGTTGTCCGTATTCATCAACAAAACCCGTAGGTTCCGGAACCCACTGGCTTAATGCTTTTGATGAATATCGGTTCTACTCCAGGGAAGAATCGATATTCATCAAGAGCACTAACCCAGTGGGTTCCGGAACCCACGGGTTTCGTTGACGAATACGACCACTGAGTACAAATGTGACCCACAGGCTGCGAAATAAGCTCCCTTGTAGGCTAACGGCTGAAAGTGCACTCTTTTTCGCCGCGCGCGATTTCGCGGTCCGAAACGTGTTAATAAATACTATCCACGTATTTTCAAGAAACGTTTTTTACGAACGTTCAATACCCTATTTTACAGAACACCTAGATGGCTTAGCAGATTGCCGAATACTGCGCTGTCATCTGAAAATTCAATTGCTTTCAGACATAGAATAATCGATCTATTGCAAGTTAAGGATTTCCATAACTAGTGAAACTTGTTTTTGCTTTTTCTTGTTTTTCTAAGAAACATCCCGTCTTAATCTTCTGTCGTTCTTTAACACGACACACAGACCTCAGCATTAGCTTTTTCGAGATAGCAATATTAACTTTTTTTCACAAATCTATGGATCGTTCTCTTTTTTCTTGTTTTCTTATTATTAACCATTGCAATACTGGCCGACCATATACCTTCCAATTTCCGCGGTCTAAGAAATTTGTTTGGAAAGCTGACTCTATGTATTCCATTACTATGCGTGTGGGTGAAGTTACGTCATGAGCACATACACCCATACATACATATATAGGCTCATAGTAAACCTCGATCAGGGAGACGATCTCCTTCGAAGCCTTCATGTAAGTTCCGTCAGGTGAATTGACGATCGCCCAATTCCGCATGCTATAAGGATGCAACGTCACCTAACATATGAGCCTAAGGTCAAGTTAGGCAGGGAGATCATCTCCCTGCCGAGCCATGAGAGACAATCAGAGCGGTGATCTCCCGAGATAGTGTGCTAACGAGGAGATTTAAAGAAAATTCTCGTAAGTTACTCCTGAGTAACTCACGATACACGTCAGTTCAACATGTTGAACGTACTGAGTGAGGAGTCACAGTGCAGGCTGGCGATCTTCAATAAGATCAATCGTAAGAAGTGCGGCGAAATCTCTCCCGCTAGTACCAGTCACTTGGATGTTTGACGGGCGCTTTTTGACTCGTATACTCGCATGGACGTGGCGTTCTCAATCGTATCAACGCGGATGGTTGGAATTATCGATCAATGACTCAAATGAGGAAAAACTGACTTGTCGAAACCTTAACTGAAGCTTTCCTCAGTCGAGATCGAATGAGGCAGCTTTCCTACGGGCCATAGTCTTTGCCTTCCATCATTTTACCGTCGCTTGTGTAGTCGGTTGAACATCTATTATCTGCAGCATTTTTCTGTTCCTTTCGGTGCACCGTCGAGTGCATTGAAATGAATAAATAAATAAATAAATAAACGTGCAGTTTGCTAGTGTTGGATTTGAAGACTTCTGACAAATTGCCAAATCACGCTGCGACTGAAATCGCGTGAATTATACCCCGACACGAAGGAAGAACAAATCTGACAGACGATTTGGCGTATTCGGCAACGAGTATAACGAGCGCTTCGACTGGACCATGATTTACGGGAAGTCGGTACATTTGTAATCATAGAACTTCATCAAGATAGGCGAAGAAGAAGCAGATGACAAGGAAACGTTGAGAATACAAGAAGTTGAACTAAGCTTAATGAGACAAGAGCTTTGCTGGAAGAGTGAATTTATTTGTAGCGCAACCGGTGTAAACATGCTCTGCAAACTCAGTAACAGCGAGGTACTACTTTCTGCTCTGACTTGCTTCAATCAGTCAACAATTTTCAACTTTACCATTTTGAAGCATGAAGGCTCAAAAATCTTGAAAATTGTAACATCGCCAGGATGAGATGGAAGAATTTAGGGTATCTGAGCAAAAGACCGGCGACGAGTACGCTAATTTAGGCTTAGAACTGAGCTTATAACTGTTTCATTTTTATAGTCTGGAAAGAGAGAGACTGTATACGGGCTGCTGAGAGAAGAGTGACGAACTCCCACGGGAAGCCCTTTTTGTAGGTGATGTTGGAGACACGTGGAGGTTTGATTCCGAATCTGTTTAAAAACTGCGTAGAGAACTTGTGACAGGCTGATCTTTTATGAAGTTACGGTAGGCGAGCGCTTACCGTACACCATACGAAACTGATTGCAAGACAACAATTTTTTTTCGCGGAAACTGGCTAAAACTTTGGTACTATTCCGCTATGCGGCCCATTTTTCGAAGGCTCTTTTAAGATACGTTTTGTAGTTGTAGAACAACTTTTCATAGATTCCTCGAGGACTGTCTCCCCGTCACATGTCAGGAAAAAAATTGACACGTTCTACTCCATTTTGACATGTTTTTTCGAAATCACTTCCGGTGAGGTAAGAGAGCATTTGTAATGGCACCTAGAAGCTGTTCAGTTGATTTCTATAAAAGCAAAACAATCTTGAACCATTATTAAACTGTCTTAATTGCTTCAAGCAATGATTCAAGAATATTTCCCTTCAAGCTTTCCGCCATGCGAGTTTAGCCTGGAAAGTCTATAAAGGATGGCTTGAAGTAGTACCTCGCTGCTGAGTTGTTTCGCCGCCTAGATGATAAAACCCTCGCGCACTTCGATATTTTCATGTCTAGTGTGTTCCTTGATAACAGGGGACGTTATTATTATAACAATGTTCATTTTAAATCTATTTACTCGAAAATGGGGTCATTATTGACTAAAAAAACAGGTCCAACTTGTGTTGTTAGGTAGGGCAGAAACTTTTGGTAAAACTTTGTTAAACATGTAGATGGCATGTCAAATTTTTTTGACACGTGGCAGAAGGCTGACACTCTCTCCTGTGAAGTTAGAACCAATTGTGGTGCAAGGAAAGAAGCATAATTCTTCTTTGAAAAAATGAGTCCGGATAACGGAAAAGTACCAAATTTTCTTCAGGCCCTTGAGTTAAATTTGACCAGTACCCTTCCGAACTCTCATAATGAGATGCTTCGCTGTTTATTACTTTAATTCAAATGCTGCAAGGTTCTGAGATGCTCTAGTATTATAAGGTGCTCGTAATATCAATCTTAATTTGCGAAATTGCCATTATAAATGTATGTCACTAAATTTCTTTTGGAACGCGCAAATTTCTTTCAGAAAATTTTCGCACAATGGCCGTAAGTCTACGTCCCAACCAAAATTTCTAAATTTTAACTTGTCTGCAAAAGCTGTACTATGCAAAATGTAGTGTATTCGTAAATGAAATCTCAAGCCTTTGCTATACTTTTAAGCCAGAATGGAGAAAGCAAAGTTTGATATCTTAGCTCTTAAAATTAGTTCATCATCCGTACTTAGACCAGGGAACTCGAGAACGGAAGCGTATCCCGAACAAGTTAAACTTGTGCTTCTCCTCGTTTTTACGTTCAACAGCTTCAAATGGGTGGTAGAACAATTTAAAACTTGTTAGCACAGCGTGTTTGGCGTCTGCACTCTCCGAGTCTTCGAGTAGCGGATCTTGTGTCAAGTTTTGAACCTTGTGCATTTGCACAAAAAATGACACATGTTCGGCGACAACTGTAGAACCAGACGTTTTTATTAAAATCTTGCTAAGTGAGGCGATGTCGATAGGTTGGTCGTGCGTATTCCTTTTAGGAGAATTTTAGTGTCCATATCACCCAGCGGTGTTCGTACATTGTAAGTTTGAACTAATTGCCAACAAATCATCCGCAGCTCTCTTTGCTGCTTGAGATTATTCCTCAACCTGAATACAGCGTCGTAATGACATGAAGAAACAAAAGTTTTAATTGAACACACCTGATTTTTTCAGGCCTGACAGCGCTACGAGTACAGACGACAACACAGTTTGATTTCCTGGAAAATCGTGGTTGAAAAGAAGTGATCCTGATCAATATGCATAAAATCAAGCTCCGTAGCCTCACGAAGTGGAAAGTAATTTGAAAGTGAGTATAAACACGTTTAGAAAATTTGCAAATTAGTATTTGAGTTTTCCAACCGCGCGCGGCGTTCCAGACCCTTGTTGTAAGCAGTTGTTATATTCCTTGAATAAATTGTCGGTAAATACTTGTCTGCACCCGTCTGCGCTTACTAATGCTTGGAAGTCAAGAGAAAAAATTTTTTTGGAAATATGCAGAACAAAGAACACAAGTCGTGGGATGCCGCGCGTGATGTGCAGTACACATAAAGAAGAAGTCGACTGTAAGCAACACTATCAAAAACATGGTGATCCCTCTTAGGCCTCGGATAGGGTCACGCGATTCGATCGTCGCGATTCAATCGCTACAAGACAATTGTTACGACTTCATTGCATGCCGATAATCTTGTATTTCGGTTTTGATAGTTTTCCAACACGACTGATTGTGACTAACTGTGACAACCGAAATACAAGAAGATCGGCATGTAATGAACTCGTAACACTTGTCTACTAGCAATTGAATCGCGACGATCAAATCGCGTCAACTCTGTCGAGGCCTTAGTCTATCTTATTCAAAGATGTAATATTCCGAAAAAATCAATTTTGTGACATCCGTTTAGTTGATGAAGAAATTCTTTTTGCGATCTTTTCATGTGGTAGAAAAATCTTTTAGTAATCAACAGACTCTGGTTGGAAGTTGTGAGGTAGCGCGCATGTTCTGCAGTACGCATACTGAGTTACAGAGACTCGACGATAGAACTACCCATTTCACGCAAACCTAAGGCAGGACCAGAAAGGAATTCTATGACTAAGAGAACGTGACAGCAGCAGAGAGATCAAATGTAGTGTCGATTCGTTGGCCGCACGGGCTGCTCAAATCCTGCGGACCACGCGCGGCGCGCCTGAATTGTCGCTAGAGCACGACTTGTACAGTTGCGAGTTTGTACTGAAGCAAGCTTTTACCTCGCGCGCATGCTCCGCAGCGATGTCAGTCCGTGCGGTCAACGAATCAACTATAGAGTTTTCGAATTGTGAAACAAACGAATGAGATCAGTAGAGAAATACGCATGATGTAGAGTTGTTGAACATTTGTGCGCCTCTTCGCTAAGAACAGATTATTTATTGTGCAAAAGCACAGTTAGGGACTTAGGGACTTCTGCCTGGCGTAATGAAACTAGAAATGTGGCAGGGACAAGATATTCGAAGGCGACCGCTCAGCGCGGAGACAGAAGTGAAAATGATGGAGGAAGCTCAGTTCAGAGTTGGTCGTCGGTACCGTAACCATCCCGTTTGCACTAATTTAGGAGTGGGTGACGTCATTTGTTAGGTCTCCGCAACGCAGTGCAGTCTGCGTTGCGGTGGGTCTGTCTCAGGGCGCGACTGAGAGTGATGTGGGACTACAATACTGCCATCCATTACTTTGAGCTTATACCCGCCCAATCGGGCGGTCCCCGTCCAGAATCTGGGTATGGACAATAGAGTGGGCGTTTCCCACAAGTGTTCTCAAGCATGACGTCAACTTTTTTAGAATTCTGCAGCGTGCACACGAAACATTTTTTGCTACGCCCACACCGCATTCATCGATGCTGATGCAACAAATTTCGTATTTCTCGCGTTCACAGGTCTTCATATCTTTCTTTCATCGATCTGCAGTTTTTGCACAATCTCATTTTCTAGATCTCTCACATTACACAGCTGCCTATCTACTTTTATTACCGAGTCCTAGATTTTGTAGTGCATTGGCTCGTACTGAGTGTACTCTTCAATGTATCTGCACTGCCCTTATGAGATTGTCGATATGTGGGCTGGCTTTTGTGGGATAGGAATCTAAATTTGCATCGCGTTCGGTACCGCCCCAAGTTGATATTTCCGCATCGCGAGGTGCGGTGGGTAAAACATTTTTGTCAGCTGCCACACACGGAACGTCGGAAGCCGGCAGCGCTCTGGCCATTGCTGGAAACTTTCATCGAAAATCATCTTTTTGAGGACCTTTTTCAAAGCATTTTCTTGTCGCTACCGCCAACAGTTCGTTCAATGCTACCCCTTTCGCATGTGAGACTAAAAATTTGATTTTCAGCCTATGCCGCGCTTGTGGGAAACTGCATTGTATCAACGTGGATTCTCCAAAACTGCAGGTGCTTAATTTATAAGTACTGTTTTCTATACGACGGCCAGACTAAAAAGACAAAAAGAGTAAATCTCGAGCTATCAGCAGCTGAGCTAATTACTTTTGCATATAATGATGTAGTATCAGCTCCCAGATTCGTATAGAGGCGGGTTACGGACTTCCTGATTATAAGGATAAATTCGTTGAACCTCCACGTTTCAGCATTGTTTTTCGTACTCTCTCGCTATCGAAACCGCCACGCGTTGAGTTGGTGTAAATCCGCCTCTATACGAATCTGGAAACCGATGGTATTTTTTCGCAGAAGATTCATTATATCCAATGCCAGGAGCAACTAGTTTCCTGCCTCTTTTCAGCTTAAAATGCAGCGCTTTTCAAACTTGGCATGTGTCTGGTTCCTGACGAGAAATGTCCCGTACGATCCTTTAGTTTTTAATATCCATCACGAGAACCCGAGAAGTTCCAGAGCGATAAAGTGCTAAGCTGACTTTCCAGTAGTTCAGTCTCTGTGCCTCTCTATCAAAACACTGCCTTATGATTGGCGCTTTCGCAGTTTGAGCTAACTCAGATAGTAGATTTAAAAGGAAATGTACTCAAATTGCTTCGTTTCTTTTATATAAGTTTTTCACGTGCGTTTGTCATCATGCATTGCGCTACAGCTCGCCTGACCAATCATCGTATCGATTAACTGCTATTCAAAGCGCAATATGAAACCGGTGGCTATCACGATATTTCATCTGGACATTGAAGGTTTTCGCTTCTTGATCCTGTTGGTAATCTGCTCTTATTTCAGGGATGAACGCTTGGTTTTTTTCACCTGACACACGAAAAGTGGTAAGTGTGCTTGAGATTCTTTGTTTTGTGGCATAAAAACTTGAATCTTATTGCAGTGGGACAATAATGGCTCACTGATTGACGAGCCCATTCCATTGTGGGAAACTGCTGAGGATGAGGTGAGCAAATCCGTTTTGTTTGTAAGGTGCGGTTTGATTGCATCATCTGCTTTACCTGCCAAGTATTCGTGATATTTCGTTTTACAGTATCCCGGTATGAATTGATATCCCTTCGTTTTTAAAAGTCTCAACAGTAACCACCATAATAAGTTGGGGAAAGGGCACGTTGGAGCAAATATGAGAGCAAGGCTTCTGATGTTTTGCATAAGTCACGGAAAAAACAAACCCACCCATTTCCGAGATTTTGATGCTATTGAATAGCGGGGCTACTAACTAGTAATCGTCCAACTTCTGCTGCAAAAGGTGAATCCCGATGCGGAAAAGTCGCTTCAGAAGTTGTAGGAGGCTCAGGTTGCTTCGCCCATCAACGTAGATGGTCTGAAAATAATGAGCTCGAAAGCGGTTTCTACATAGACAGAAGTGTCGCGAAATTGATAATCATAATGAACGGCGGATTCGTGACAACTTCAGACACATCGAAGCTCGATTTTGGACTTTTATCTTCAGACCATCCATGTTGATGCGCGGAGCCACCCGGAGCGCTTCTCTTCTGGAACGTTTTTCTCGCTTTGAAATCTGTCTTATGCAGCGGGATTTGGACGATCGTGATGGACGGTGCCTTCAAACTGCTTTCAAAAGTGAAATGACAAGAAAATCTTTTGAGTTTGTAGAATTCTCACTTCTGATAAATTTCTTAATTCTAGACGATGTCAGCTGTGTCTCGTCCAGTTGTAAAAGTTGAGACGGAAATGTCAAGGCTAGCAGCAGAACGAGTTTGCTCGGTAATGAGCAAGCAAGGTAGCCTAGAAAATCTTAATCTGGACGATACAAAACCTGTCGAGGTACAGACTTGTATGCTTTGTTAATTTTTGTTTGTGCGCTCTCGTGTTCTTTGCATTCGTTCAGCAAAAAAATTACAGGTTGATGCGGATCGATCATACCGTATGTGGTATCCTGAGGAGATGCCGAAGCGAAAGTCCTCGTCGGAGGCGTTATTCCATTGCAAACCAAACATACAAGCCGCGAAAGATGTGAAATGGGATAAACTTCTGCCGCACCAAGGTGCTGTTGATGAAGTAAAGGTAAGAAATTGGTAGAAATTAATAGTTGAATCTTTTTAGCCTAAAAAAGTCTGCAAAATGGTGTATTTCTTGCAGATGCGTGACCAACGCTTAAGAACTGATCTTGCGATAGGTCCAAAGTCAAGGCATCGGCTACTCGATCATATAAGCAAGAACTGCAGGCAGAATATGAATAAGTCGTATACGGTACGTGTCCTCCTTCCCCGGAAAAAAGAGGAAATCTATGCATTCCATTTTAGGTAGATGATCTTGATCCTTTTGCCCGAGCTGATATCTCAAATGCGGAGAGTGACATACTTCGCCAGTGTAGTGTAAGTGTGAGTACATTTAAGATCTATTCGTCAATATAGAGAAACGTGGGTTGCTGCCTTCACGCTGAACGAGATTTAGAAGTGTGTCTGCCTAAGATATTTTTCGATCAGGGAGCAGTCTATGATTCTCTGGATTGGAGAATAGTTGGACTAATCAGCTCTCTTTCGAAGAAAGATGACACATTCTTCTCAAGTCGTGATCGTTTCTCAAGTTTTCATTTCATAAGACAGCATACATTTGTAGGTGTACTATCCCGATGTAAACTACGCAGCTGAGTCTTCGAGGCTGCGTGAGGCACTGCTGAAGAAAATTGGCGAAAAGCGAAGTGCAGTGAAAAGGGAGAAACTCGAAATTGCTTTACCGGGGTCGTCAAATGCTGTAGGTTTTGTTATTTGTTTAGCTAGTCTTGCGCGATTGTCTCTATCTTCTAGAACCTATGGAGTTTCAAATTTTGTATTTATACAGATCGCTGTCAGCGACGGAGGAACATGCGAATTACTACGAAACGGAAAATCCATGTCTCTCATAGTTGATGTGCCAAAGGATGAAGATCTTGAGCAGTATTGTCGTTTCTTCTGCAAAAATGCTCTACGAGTAAGACCAACTATTCTTATAAGAAGAGCTTGTTGCATCAGCTTTTCGTATTTAGGCGTGTCGCTTGAAGAAAAGCGAACGTCGTGTTTTGTCAAATCATTTCCTTTCAAATAGGATGGAGAAGTTCAAAAATCCGGCGCTTATCCAGTTTGCCACGGTAGAGGACAGTAAAGAAGCGCTGGAAACACATTCAAGTCATGGTCGAAAAGTGGCTCAGGTACTATCAGTTGCTATCTTATCTTATGTGCAACTAATCGCCAATAATTCAGTATCTTCCACGAACTTTCATTGCTGGATGCGATCGTTGGAACAATATAAATAATGCTACCATGACTTTTCGAGTAAAATGGTATAAACGCCCTTCAAGCGGAGTTGGAGTCGTGAAGGTATGTGGGTCACTTCCTCGTGTGCTATATCGATTGACGTAACAATTTTAGTTCAACAGCGCCAGTGACGCTCAATTGGCATCGGATGTATTCATCTATCATGGCTATTCAGAAGCCGAGAGACATAGCTGCTTTGGTGATGATACGGTAAGTTCGAACAAGTATGAACATTTTTATTTTTACACGTTTAAGGTGTACTTTTCTTAATCGAGCACTTCATTTCAGAAAGCGATCAAGTACATACCTAACAGCTATCAACATGATTCGTTATTCGAGCATCATATGCGAGAGATTCTTGAACCTAATGATATCCACATTGTCAGAGCCTATCTGCAAAGAATTCCCAGATCCAGAAATGAGTAAGAAAATCTGATTTTACTCGCTTTTACGGATATCAATGTTTTTCGTTTCTAGTCTGAGTGTGAAGGTACAGCAGCAGATCAGTCGTGCCATAATTGAGTATCTGATCCGGCGTCGCGTGTGGGATGGACATATTCCATGGCTGCAGCAGGAGTGGAGAGCGGTGAGCACCGTAACTTTTGCTAGTGAACCTATTGGGCAGCCGATTTAGTCTATACTTTCAGTTGCTTTCCTCAAATGACCTGCCATGGCGTTGGAATGCGCTGGATATAAAAGACAATGAGGGAATCGCCACTCCTTGTGAGGCGGAGTTGATCCTTGATAATGTCGAACAAGGCCTAGATCTAGTGGATTTCCTCACGGCAAGCACGGCTGATTTCACAAAACTCTACGATGAAAGGACCAATGCGTGTCAGAAGGTTTGTCAAGTTTCTCTTTGAGGTTTTTTGGAGGTGCTGAAGTGCAAATTCTGAGCAAGTTATTTTTCAGCTTTTCATCAAGCCAATCTACTGCATAACAGTCCCAGTCACAAGAGAAGTACGGGTTGCTTGCGACACTTTCATAAGGTGGGGTCACTTTAAATTGCTTTGGCTGTGCTGTAAGTCGCTTTTGATTCAGGCAACTAAACGAAGAAGAAACAGCAGCAGCTCATGCCACAAACGACGAAATGCAGTGTTTGAAAATTGTTGATTTGACATGGAATAAGGGTCACAATAACTGTGATGACGTTGATACCAGTATAGGAGAACTGAGCGTGCAAGGATGGCCAGTACGGTAAGCCTGTACCAGAAGTTCAGATATTGAACTATCATCGCAAAATCGTATTTTTCTTAAGAAACCTGATATCCTCCATTTTAGCCGTGTTCAAGAGGTGGCCACGCGTTTAATATCATTGTTCGAAGGCACCTATATGGATTGCTCCGATGAAGTTTATGGACGCCTGTTATATGGGTAAGCTACTTAGCAATACACCCATCTTCTTATCTTCTCCATTTGGTTTATTGTTACAGGCACGGTGCTAAATATGTCGATTTTGCTCGTGAAAAATTGCGTGGAAAGGCTGTCATCGATGTGGATTTGTTGCGAGAACGAATCACAGTTGTCGGAGAGTCGGCTGATTTGGCTAAAGAAAAACTCAAATTTTTCGCTGAGAATAGGTAGCTTGGAAAGCTATATTAACCATAATCAGTGATCCGTCAATGCTTCATTTCAGCCATGCTTTCAAGTTAAGTGAAGTGATTACTCTTGGACCACCGCGCTACCTGTTCTACATGCGTGACGTATTATGTTTCGGAGTCGGCATAGAAAGACTGAGGTAGGTAGAAATTTTTTTGTTGTTGATGGATTAGGTTGATAATACATGTCTATAGGGAGATCTGCGGTGGAGCTGATTTGGAATTCGTTGACAATGTGGGCATTCAGTTTTCCGGGACTCTAGAACAGTACGAACTGTTGACAAATTATCTGGAAGAGGTTGACGAACGGGTGGGTTACATATTCAGCTTACGGCAGCTTTTAGCTGTTTTCCCAATTGCGCATTCAGTGATATTGTTAACAATGCCGAATGTTGCAGCTTGTGATGTCGAGTTCCCCAACGAACGCTTCTTCCAAACCGACTTGTCCAGTGTGCCTATCGCCAGTTAGCAATGCTTTTTACTCACTCGAGTGTGGTCACTATTACTGTTTGAAGTGCATCATCTTTCAGGTAATAAGGTCTTGCATTTTTTGGATTATTGTTGATGGATCTAATTACGAGCTTTTAGGTGAGAACAATGATCCGAAATAGACATCTGCCCATACGGTGCGTTTATGATGACTGCGAAAAGCCTATTGCTGTCAGTGACCTCAAGGTTATTTATTTGTTTCTTCCATTATTGGATTCATGATTTCCACTGTTATTCTGATGTTTTCTGTTTAGGAACTTATTCTTGGAGAAGAGCGTCTTCCCTGGCTAAGCGGTGAAAAATTGCGACCTTTGATTGACAGCAGCCTTGACTGCATTATTCGAAAACATCCGAGTTTGACGCGATGCCCAACTCCTGACTGCTTTGGTGTTTGCGATGTAAGTAGATGTTGAATTTTACGATCAGATCATCATATTTATTCATCAATTTTAGGTTTCTGGAAAGTCTGGCGTGTTCCAGTGCGAATCATGTAAGAAAGAGAGATGCACAGGCTGCATGTTGGAACCTCATGAAAATCTGACATGTGAAGAATACTCTAGACTCAGAAGTAAGCTTGATTTGGACAAATTTCATTTTTTCCTTATCTTTTCTTCAACAATTCTCTTACAGCTGATGGCGTAGCTTCACTCAAGGCGTATCTCAGCAAAAATGAAGGCAAAGCACGTGAATGTCCAACCAAAGGCTGTGGTGCCATCATTGAAAAAGGCGAAGGATGTTACCATATGCAGTGCACGATGTGCAAGATTCACTTCTGCTGGCTCTGCGATTATACGGTAGGCGTTTGAGATTACCTTTACCTTGCAAATTCATGAGATTCCAATTTTAGAGTGATCAACAATCCAAAATATATGGACATCTGCGAGAAAACCATGGAGCTATCGGCGCCGAATGGCCTGTTGATTTCGATATGCATCCAAACTTCCAAAGGCTCTTTGCACCAGCCCGTAGACTCGGCTTCATAGAGGCCGAGGACATACCGGACGACATGGACGTCGCGTAAAATAGGGGTTGGTCATTTGTTATCTTTATCTCATCCCTCTTTTCAGTTTTGAAGTAGAATGGTTTCCAGAAATGGTTTTGAAATTTAGTTTGTTTTGAAAATTTCGAATTTCCTACTTCAGGTCTCTTTTCTTCACTTCGGTGGAGTCAGACCTTGCTCATCATAAGAAGCTTGTGGTCATTATAGCTGTCACTATGGGTGCTACTAAGTTATTTTTGAAACTCCGAAAATACGTGTACATTTATTGATTAGCTTAGTTACTGGTTCCGTTTCACTTATGTTCGTATTTTTTCCGTTGTATTTATCCATGCTTGTTGCTTATCTGAATCATAATCTATTCATGTTGCTGAAACTGTTATTCATCCATCCTACATCGTTTTTTCTCCCATATCTCTCTAGAGATGGGTCATGTCAACGTCACGGATGTCGCCTCATCCCTAGGGATAGGCGATATCTCATCGCTGTCTCTTTGTTGCTCTTATCCAAGAAGACACTGCCATTGCCACTTCGTGCATATGTCCCCCCGGTTAGCGTTTTTTGTATTTCACGGTTACTTGCTTCTCAGAATTTTCTATGAAAATCGTGTGAACTACTTCTGGTCTATGCCCTCATTGTATACTCGTATTATTGGTATAGTTTATACCGATAAAACCCTTTAAACTTCATCATTCTGTATCCTTCGCAGAATATGTAATAAAGGTACATTCTTACGCATATAGCGACGTTTGGGGACCTTTTTTTTGGGAGCAGCGGGTTTAATGGAATCAACAGTCAAGCAGAATAAAGTATTCGTTAGTTATCAGTTGCATTTCTAAATTCAAAAGCAGTGTTCGCATTGGTCGCATTACTCAAAGACAGATCTACCTACCGTATGATTGGTAGAACAAAAGCACCGTATCTCTTCAGTACTTAATATGCAGTATACTTGAAAAAAGGTCGCACTTTGTACTAGTATGCGTGAGAGATAGTAGAATTCGTGAACTGTAGTCGTTGCGCCATCGCTTTGTAAAATTTTATGAAATTAAGTTGTCGACCTTTTGCTGTAAACAACCAGGTTCATCTTACCTACATGCGTTTGAATTTTAAAACTGATTTAACATGTACTAACACTATCAGAGTTACAGTATCTGTTCGCGATTGGGGACCTATCACACGCTGTATGGCTTATAACAAGTTCAATCTGTCAAGAGCTTGTCATCGAAGAATTATAGTCTATCACAGTCATAAGGTCTTTCCCATTGAACTAAAGCCGCGCGTCGGTATCGCAACCGCCCGCTCCACCGCAAACGCATGGCCCTTGCACTGCGCCAGACGCAAGGGCAATAAAAAGTGACTGGCACCTTACTTGGTGTCAGCGATGTATTCCCTATCCGATGAGCTCAACAACGCTAGTGCCTCCATGCCGCCTGCGCGGTAGCGCCGTTTGAACGTTCAACTTGGCCGCAGCGATAAGGGAATGCTGCGCAATGCCCTTACGCTGCGGATGCGTAGTTGCTACAGAAAAGGGAGTACGTGGTTGACACTGACTGTGCCAGTAGTCGTATTTAGTCATCTTACCATACAAAGTCAGATGTAGCTTTATAAAAATGGAATCTATATGAAACAACCTTGCCATCAACGTGGGAATTTGATGGCTTACGGTTCACCACTTTGCCTGCAATGTATAAGCGCACTGAGTAGCCTACCGAACGCAAAAATCTAAGAACATTCGTGAATTCCCATGCCTAGAACTGCCTACTATACAAACGAGTACTTCTTTATATCAGAAGATGCACCTCACCGAGCTGAGTCGAACAATGCCCTTGAATTCAGAACACGTACACACTGAACTAAGATACAGGGCTCCTAAATTGCAGAGTCGCCTGCACCAGCGGTCGCGCGACCGCGTCGCGCCCGGACATCAATGGCGCCGCCTCGATCGATGGCGCCGGCGCCGGCAAAACGCCCGGGCGCGACGCGGTCGCGCGACCGCTGGTGCAAACGACTCTGCAGTTTAGGAGCTGTACGGGAGATATGGCGATGCGACGCGGTTCGGCGAACTCCGGTGGAATTCGGTAACTTTTTTGAGCGGTATTGTATGAGATGACATAAGTAAAAATGGACTATGCGGACAGATCGCAGTTATTGTTGCAACTCGATTTCTCCACTTGCGAGGCGTCTTTCTAATTTCACAACTCAAAGGGATCATGAACAGTCGCTATAAAAAAATCCCAACTACTGCATTCTACCGCCCATGAGTTGGTGGCACGTCCACCCTAAGTTAGGGGTCTTGAGCTTTTGGTAGCTTATTATAGTAAGACTCGCTGTCAGGCCGATGTCCAAGTCGCGGAAAAAAGAAAACCGCGAATAAGCATGAGGTCCCAAGTCGGCACCGCCTCCTCCAGTAAGGCCCGCCCATCCAATCACCTTGCTGAAAGCCGACCTTCGGGTTCTCCGAAACGGGGTTGTCGAGGTTTTTGCGCATTCTCCACTTCATTGACAGAGGAAGCCCCCTGGAACGATAAGAACATGAAAGTCAAGAGTGGGTGGAGGGTGCCCTCAATCTCCTAAACGAAATGACCCTTGGCGAGAGGAAGAATGTGGAAATGAAGCGGTAAAGAAGTAGTCTGAAAGGATCCCCCTCCCCCCTCCATTTGAGCCATAGTTCAAGCTAGGCTGGTATTATCGATTCTGACCCCAGAAAGACGTTTCAGAAGCTTTGACGCAACCGTTCTTATACTTCTCGTCAGTAAGACAAGGAAGCGCGCAGCGAAGAGCGACTGCAACTTTATCATTGGTCGTTGCAGGTTCCTGCCACGCGTCCCTGTCTTCCCGCTTTGCGGACGTGGCAGTGAGTAATCCGTCATTTAGTTAGGACAGGGAGGTGCAGCCGGCTACCCACTACTTATGAAATGAACGGTTGCGAGAATCCGTCCACACGAAGAATTTCCCCAGGAAAGTTCACAGCATTCAGCGGGAGGAACTTGTACGTTGCAGGTAATCACTAACTAGGGACCGGTACACTGCAAAATAAATTTTTTTGTTGCATGTCGAACGCCTTGCGTCTACCGCAGCGCGGCAGGCTGCCGTCTCTTTGTCTAGTTACAACATTCCACGCGTGCGCCTCAAATCAACATCTATAAAAACTTATAACTAGACTGAAAACTAATAAAATCAAAGTGCTGAGCACCTAACATCGCGTCAAGCTTGTAAGACTAGAACTGCCTGTCTCCAGCATTGCATTCTGTCACACAAAAGAAGCGCGGAAAAAAGTTGTGGAATGCTGGAAATGCGTCGTTGAGGTTAGTTCGGGTCGTAATGGGCGTAATTTTCTGCGTATGTATGTGTGTATGCGCAGGTTTTTGAAGAGAACACAATGCAAGCCAGACAAGCTTGATGAGTTCGCGGGGGAGCGGGGGGGGGGGGGAGCGGGCGGAGGGAGAGGTCGTTGCATAGCTCATACGCGGCGCGGACCCATAAGGTGGTTTTATGGGTGGGCAGGTGAGGACGCGGGGGGGGGGGGAGGGGATATGGGGCCCAGGTGAACGCCACCGCCCCAATCTCTGTGTTCTCATCCCGACCTTATTGATCCGCTGCCCATAACTCAGGTACTCAGGTGGTTGTTCGAGTGCAGTGACGCCGACTCATTTCATCATCAATTTCATAACTTTTCCTAGTACTGTAGCTTACAGTATTGATTACTGTAGCCACCGTCGGCACTGCATTCTTCAGTGTGTAGGGTCCATGCAGATATGTTTCTTAATTGTTCACCTCTGTAGATGATTCCAAAGCAGCAAAGCGTCTCTTTTATCCCCCGTTTGTATATTCAAGTCATTTATTGTTTTTTGAACATCTTACATTGGTTCTTGAATTGCGACCTTTTCTCACTATTTACACAAACATTTACTGATCTCTAAGATCTTTCACAAACAAAATCGTGGAAAAGAATGTTCTGGCCTCCCGAGAATGGTTCGAGAAATTTTTGGCATGCATAAGTCTGCGTGAGTCCTAAAAATTCGCGAGTGACTTGTTTTTTATTTCAAAAAAATGGGAAAATTTCTGAAGTTTTTGAAATTTCTGAATGGCTTTGTAAGAGATTCATCCGGGATTGCAAAGTTTTGTGGAGCATTCAGAAGAAATTTTTGTAGAATGTAGGCGACGCCACGCCCGTTCATTCAAAAGAAGCCTCCCGCCTTCTCTCCTCCCCCCCCCCCCCCCCTCTTCTCTCTCACCTCCCCGAAAAAATTTTTTTAACCCTCGCTAACAAATAGCTAGATTAGGTTTTTTTCGCAATAAAAACCTCTCCATATTGTGTAGGATATTACCTAGGCAAGGAACAGTGAAGGATACCAAAATATCCACAAATTTTCCACAGTCAAATTTATCAAGTGTCGCTCTTCCGAAAAATCAAATAACACCCTTCAACCAGTGAGCTAATCACGACCACTTGAAAAATCATACATTTATTTACGCATATCATCATCAATTTTTTGCCTTTTTCCCAAGTCCAAGCACCATCATATTCTTTGGTTTTCATTCCCTTATTGCAGTACGGAAACCCTTGGGAACTCTTTATTTTAACAGTAACGCCTCCGGAACCTGCGAATTTCCCTTTACTATCATTGAATGTTTATCCAATGCATGGAATGTTCTGAGAGATGAGATTCGCAGCTTGAATCAGACAAAGATGGCTACCTACTTCACAATAATTATAATTACTGTTTTCAGAAACCCACGCGTAAAAGCCAAAAAATCTGTGGTACCACTTTCGCTTAGCATATTTATTACGTATTTGAACTTGTTACGAAAATTCTTTCATCTCTCGCTCATTTTGCGCTATAAGCTCCTCTTTCTCAGTTGTTATCTACAAGTTGCTAAATCATCTACATCTATTCATACGTTTCTCACTTATATGTCTCAATAAAAATCGGTATCTTTTTTAGCACTTGTATAAAATACTTTGTATGGTCTTCGAAAGTCTAGCTCAATTTTGTTCAAAATATGAAGCTCTTTGAGCGCAATTTGGTAACAGTTACATTAATGGCAGAACTGATATCAGAATAACAATCACAGTGAAGAAATTTCGCTTTAGTCGTACAGCTTTTCGGTGATCCTATATGGAAAACCCTTCAATCATTTTTACCAATTGGTCGTACGTTATGCGTACCGTACGTCTTGTGCCGATATAATTAAAATGACAGATAGTGCGTCATCGTCTAAAATGTGACATGCAGGTGCTGATTCCGGATTTTTCGAATTGGTGCTATTTTCGGGTATTTGCGCATTTCTCCTTTATTTGTGTGAAATGTTCAGATTTGTAATTGCGCGCTATTATTATGTAAGTCTTAGAATTGAAGGGTTTTTCTTTATTGCCGACTTGAACCGGCTTTCAAAATTGTTCCCAAAATAAACAGGTGCAAAAGGACCGAGAAAAAGATCTGACGTGGATATTTTGTCACTAATGGGCATTGTTATATGAAGCATTTTAGCCTTCTAGATTTATCGCTCCATCAAATTTTCTATTCATGTCACAAAATTCGGTGAGTGAAGAAATAAAAAAAGGAAAGTTTGTACGAGTTTTATGGCTTGTGCCATACTTCAGGTGAAAAATTGTAATAGTAGGTGAAATTTTGTAGGTTTTTTTCTCGCAATCAAATTGCAAATAGTTTTGTACTGTGAAACTTCAAAAAAAAACAACAACATTAGGTTGAAAATTTTTTATGCAGCTGTCAAAACTTAAAGTTGTTTCA